TCTGCCGCAGATTACCCCCCATCGGCCGGTACGCTCCCACAGGGTGGGTCTCCTCAGGGTGCCGTCAGCCAGACAGTGCCGGCTGGCGACTCCCAGGGGGAGGGCCTTCTCAGTGGGAGCTCCCACCCTCTGGAACGAGCTACCCCCAGAGATCCGGGTGATTCCGGATCTCCCTTCCTTCCGCCGCGCCCTCAAGACAGTTATTTCAGCAAGCAGGACTGGCCTAAGGGGAAATTTTTAGTGGGGTTCTTAAACATTTTTAATTAATTATAGCCAATTTAAATATTTCTTTTTAACCAAGTTTTAAGGGGTGTCTTGGGGTGTATTTGTATTTTATTGGTTGTTAGCCGCCCTGAGTCCGTAAGGAGAAGGGCGGGGTAAAAGTTTAACTAATAAAATAAATAAATAAATAAATAAATAAAGTCAAAGGGAAAACCAGATTCACTTAACAACCGTGTCACTAACTTAACAACAGCAGTGATTCACTTAATGATTGTGGCAAGAAAGGTCATAAAATGGGGCAAAACTCACTTAACAACTGTCTCACTTAGCAACAGAAATTTTGGACTCAGTTGTAAGTTATCTTTGTTACAGGAACACATTTAATTCTCTTCAGTCAGGTAAAAATACACTTTTTCTTCCCATGTAAGATATATTTCTGGAAACAAGCCTACATTTAGTCTTATGTATTTCAAATGCATGAAGAAATTACAAAGCTGGACTAACAACGGGAATATTACCTGGCTTAAGTGGACCTATGTTTGAATTCTAATGTTAGCTTCCTAAGACTTAGTTTAGTTTCTTCTGTACTCAAACTCTCAAAGATTCAGGGCTTTTGTTGCCCAAAGTGCAATTCAAACTGAACTGACTGAGAAAGAAAAGAAGGAACTCAGATGGAGTATTATAGGTTAGTATGATGTTTGCATGCAATCACTTTGCTATATTTGCCAAATGTTATTGGATCCAGATGGTTATGTCCTTCATGTGAAATCCTCCAATCTTTACCTACAGTTTCCCCCGCTTATTTTGGTTTCCAGATAAAATATTTTAAGGAGGAAAAGATGGAATTGTTCATGTATCTTCTGAGGGGACCCCTCCATCTGGAATCACTTTCATTGTGTATCGTTCTCCATGGTTGATATCCGAGTCTGTCTGTGTATCCTACCAACAAGCACTTTCTGAATTCAGCTCCAGGAGAGACTCTATGAGGCTTTACCATTAAACTGAAATAAGCCTCCTTTCACACAGTGGGACATACTTTTAAACGATACCTTGTAGGAATATTTCACAATAGATCTAAAGTTAAATGGTATTTTTCATTATAACAATAGCTCAGTCTAGTACACAATGGGCAAGCATTCATAGCATACAGAATTCTTTCTTAGAATCATCTGCTAACCAAAATGTTTTGTGAAATAGGAAACTTGACACTCAGGGTCTGAACAAGATGCAAATTAAAACAATTCAACAGTTAATAAAAATGGTGGGATTCAAAATAAAAGTATAAATCTCTAATACCAGCATTAGAAAAAATAAATGAAACGCGTAAGAGAGTAAATGGGGGGGAGAATCCCCAACACCCGAACTGAGTCTTTGAAAGCAAATATTCACAAAGTTAACATTGTACAGTTATTTTATCTGTATCCATATCTATATATAATTTGTTACAGAATTAAGAATGTAAAAATTATTACACGTATGTATTTCATTGCTCTTTATTGGCACAACTGATTCTTATGTGCCAAGATTTTGTCAGGAAAAAACTTGGAATGGTTCCCTGACATTGTTTTTGTAGAGTTGACATGTTAAAAAAAAAATGTAATTTTTTAAAATGCCTTTTATAACCCGCTGAATCAACCATTGACTCTGGCAATTTGCAATAACAAAAAACACCGTGCATACAGTAATACTGTAAAGAAACTAAAGTATTAAAGTAAAAGTCAGGTAATGTTTAAAATAAACCAAACTCCAGCACAGCTGTCAGTTACCAATATAATCCAAATATGAATAATAATATGAAATCCTAACCCCGCAATTGCACCCTCGCGGAAAACACTGGCTCCCAATTCAAAAGCACTTTGTTTGGCTTGGCGTTTGTACCTTCCAGAAATTGTTTTCTGACTGCGAGCCACACTAAGAGAGCTATGCAACCAGAAATCACTGCCCCAGCACTGATCAAAGCAACAACTCTTCCTTTTCTTCCAGAAGAACAGCCCATCCTGGAAATCATCGTATTTTTGATGTGCAAAAGTTTCCTGGCATCTGTGTTTCAACAGTGACACCTTCTTTTCCAGTGTAAGGCAAGAAAATCAAAGGAAGTTGAAACGAATTCTGAAGAATTTCATTCCAGCAAGAAGCCCTGGTTGATGAAACCAGGATTCAGAACAAATTGAACAGGGTACACATCCAAGTATTTTCTTGATAGAAACTCTTCTTTAAAATCTACAATTTTTTCTTAGTTATCTGAACAATGCTAATGGCAGAGCTTTCTCTTGAACAAATTTCCTGTACTGTCCTACTATTGGCATACGACTTCACTATGCAATCCGTTTTTCTATTCTTTCTTGAAGAATTATAACATGGCAGAAAAACTTCTGATCATCTGGTACTGTCACTAAAAAAACAAAGCAAAAAACCTTTTTAACAGATACTCCGTTCCTTGCAGAATGTGCTTCCTAATAATTAAAGGCTGTCGTGCTGGAATTAAAAATGAAGGCGTCACCACAGAACAGGTTCTCATAAGGAAACTCCAAACAAAAATGATTTGTCTGCTTTGTGGCTCATGAAGAACTCTGCAAAAAGTCTCTCGGGTTATGCCTATTATAGATGGAATTTGTGTCCCTCCTTCGTTCCGTGTCGATCAGCACAACAGCACTTTGAGTTTAAAGTCCATTTTTCCAACAACTGTAAATGGAAAGAAGATTTTTTTTCCTGTCAGATATTTGTGGCACTGGAGCCACGCATGTGAAAGTTAGGGTTGAGAGTTTTCTTCAGAAAGCTTTTCAAAACATCTTGCAGAAATAAAATCTTGCCAGTTTTAAATTAGCAGGTTAGAAATCACACTGATACGATCACATCTTCATTTTTCTTATCCTTGCCAGATTTCTTTTTTTAAAAAAAAAAACATATTAATCTACAGCTATATGTATCCTGGGAGATGCAGAGGTTGAAGATCTCATAACGACTGAACTTATCCCAGTGTACATACGGGAGACTGGAGACAAACCCTAGCAAATCTTTATAAAGCCTTTAAGAATCTGTCTGGCTTTGCATATCCCAAGGTGAAAATGGGCTTACAACTGATATACAGGACTAACTCCTGTGTCTGCTCTCATTTTTGTCAAGTTAGAACCATGGCAACCAGCTCAAGCTGATCCAGATTGCGATTGTACAAGAGCGTCATGGAGAAGAAAGTGTTTTAGGGCACAGCCAGGTGACAATATTAAATTGCTATCCTCCAATCAATGAGTTGGCAGAAAAGTATGCCAGCGTAAACTGTGCTGCCCTTATTGCTGCTAATCCCTATTCTGACACAGAAATGAGGCCAGTGACTGGTGCCTATCTTTATAAATTTAATATGGAACAAGTTAAGCAGCTGATGGCTCCCTTTGGCATTATTCCTTCCACCAAGCGCCACATGTCAGCAGAAGAAAACACCCCTTTTCTTAATATCTAGTGTGTGGTTATAAAAGATGGGTTAAGCTACTTTGCTGGCACAGAAGTGCTCCATGCCTATGACCTATTAGCTGTTTTTGAAATCAGGTCTAGCATTCTTATAAGAGCACTAAATCTGTAGCCCAGCTATTAGGCTGCAGGCACAGCAAGAAAAAAGGAGCATCTTGAAGGATTTCACAAATTTCATCCGCTGCATTGACTATATGCCATCAAGTTGGTGTCAGCTCTTAAGGATCACAAAGTTTCCTCAGTTTCCCCTTCCGTAAGTTCCTGGCTGCCTCTCTTTCAGTCAGAGAGACCTGAATGCTATGATATTTATTTTGAACTGGTCTGAAAACTGACACGATCCATTATTAAACCCACAGCACTACAGTTATATCCAAGAAGATCAGAACAGGTTTTGCTCTGCTATGGATACGCAATATGTTCTGTGAAGTAGATTCTGTAATTATTTTATTGTCCCCTTCCCAAAATGTGTTAGCCGCTGTATAGGAATTTTGTCAGGGTGTGATGCTGCAAAAGTAAATAATACAAAACAGCAAAATTGTGAATAAAAGAGCAGCTAAAACCAGTAAACTGACTTAACCAGTAAACATGCAGCACAAAGTGAATATGCCTTGCATTGATGGATCACTCATTAAGAAGCCATACACCCCCATCTCAGGAAGGAATAAAAATTTAGAAGAATGCAACTGTGCAATGTGTCAGTTAGAGATGAAGGAAACATAACAACACATACTTAGAAACAGATAGATAGTTACAAGACTTGGCAACAAGAACATAAGCTGCAGAAGCCCAAGTAGGGATGAAGGACACGTAAAGCTTAAGCAAGATATAATTCTATAGGGGCAAAAATGACATATAAGCTCAGGCGAGGTGCAACTCCATAGACAAATGGACATGTAGACTAAAAGCAAGGTAGAACTCCCAAAAAAGGTAATAGCTTTGTGAAATGTTACTTCCCTACTTCCCTACATCAACTGTATAAAAGATCGTGCTATGCTGTTGTTCAGGGTCTCAGCTCCCAAATTGGACCTGGACCCTTTTGCTGAAGCGCTTCAATAAACTTTTGCAAAAGTCTGTCTCTCGTGTCTGGCTCTGATTGGCTTCTGTGCCAGGCTGAACCAAATTTTGGATGACAGCACAGCCATTGAGTCAGAACTGAAAAGATCCACTCATGGCCCACTTTGACATTTAAGTTGGGTTTTTATTGATGACTACAAGACTTGGGTAGAAATATAAAAGAGGCATCAGATACTGGTATCTGCACTTGAACTGGACTCCAAAATGAACGGAGAGCTATGGAATATGATTCAGTTCATGCTTGGTGTGATCAGCTTGAGGTAGAGATTAAAGAGTAATTCATAGAATAAAACATGAAGGACTTGTAAAGACGTGACAAGAGGTCTAGTAATAACTAGACTGGTGTGAAGACAACCGGTCTAAACAAAAGTTAAATGTCACGTGACAAAAAGGACTGTGTTAAAATAGGATTCTATTTTATAAAAGATACACCGATAGTAGTAGTAGTAGTAGTAGTTCACCACCACCACCACCACCATCATCATCATCTCATCCTTTCTTTAGTCAGAAGATTCCAGAGCAAGTGTATAGCAGAGTAAAACCTTCTCTTAAGCCTATAACATGAAAAATATGACTCACAATGAGGAAAAAACAGGGGAAAAGACTATTAAATGCCAATCCTGGCTCCCCTCTTAAAACTCAGAAGATCTTGTTAGGAGAAACAATTCAGACGGAGCCAGTTTGGTCTAGTCTTGGTTAAAGTGCCAGGAGACTTGAGTTTTAGTGCTGCCTTAGACATGAAAGCCGGCTGGGTGATTTTGGACCAATCACTCCCTTTCCGCCCAACCCCCCCCCCAGGATTATTGTTGTGGAGAAAATAGAAGGAGGAAGGAATATTACCATATTTCCCCGAAAATAAGTCCCACCCCGAAAATAAGCCCTAGCCTGATTTTTTTGGGTGGGCCTAATATAAGCCCTCCCCCCAAAATAACCTTGGGGGTGGGCATGGCCAGCACAAAGAGCGGTAAGCGTGTGGGGGCGGACAGTGTCCGGCAGCAGCCACAACCCACCGGTCCCTTGGAGCAGCGCAAATAAGTCCAGCGCAAAGGTCAGAGGCAAGGGAGAGGCAGACAATCCAGATGCACCACACACTTTTCACCCAGAGGGAGACTGGAACTTTTGTCTGTTTGCAAATGGGGCAGTTCCGTTTTCAATCACCTCATTTTAAAGCAGATGAAGCTTCCAATCTCTGTCATTTCTCCATCCGGACAAAAAGTATTTCGGTGCCTATGGGGCACTTGGGGTAGCTGCACCCCTCCCCCACCTGCCTGACTTCATGGCGGCGGCACAATGCAGTGGGCTACTTGGCCCCCTGCTGTGAGTGGCTGTGAGCAGCCACAGAAGTGGGCCAGTGGCCATGCAGGTTCCTGCTGGATGGGGCTGTCAGTGCCATTGTGGCGAGGTGAGGCGAGGCAAATGTTGGGGAAAAAAATAAGACATCCTCTGAAAGTAAGACCTGCTGCCTCTTTTGGAGGCAAAATAATAATAATAAGACCAG